CGCCCTGATTAGCCAATGGGAAGGGTAGCGGTCGTACGCTAATTACCATGTTTCTCTTTTATTAGATAGGATAGTACTGGTGTGTGGGAAGCCACCCACTGCTGATACTATCATGAGAGTGCACCAAGGAAAGTGGAAGGCCGATGGAACTTGGGTGTTAGCAAGCACCATTGTTTGTTTTGAGATAGTGGTGGCTTGAAGCAATTTCCTGAACTAATAGCCCCAAAGTAAATGTTTACTGGACCCTACTGATCTTTATTGACCTTAGAGTCGGCTACCTGTTTGTCGTGCTTTACTGAGGGCAAGATGTGTATCTAAAACTGAATAAAAAGTGGATAAGGCCAGGTTTCATTGTGCCTCTCCAAGAGAGAGGTCTCTACCTGGCCCCCCACCCCTTAATAATTCATATTTCTTGTCTAGTGTTTTCATTTGTGTGTCAGCTCCTTCTTCATATCCTGAACCCTAGCTGTGCAGGTCACAGTACTGGAGGTCCTAGCAACAGCTATTAGCAAGAAGAAAACATAAAAAGCATGCAAATTGGAAGGAGGTAGTAAAACTGTCATTATGTGCAGATGCTCTGATATAGTACATAGAAAACCTCTAGGACTCCACCAAAAAACTGCTAGACTTAATCATGGATTTTGCAAACGTTGCTGGATACAAAATTAACACCCATAAATCACTAGCATTCTTATACACCAATAATAAACTCTCAGAGAGAGAAACTAAAAAAAAAAATTAATGCCATTTGTCACTGCAACAAAAAAAATTTCAGAAACTTAGGAATACATTTAACCAAGGAGGTAAAAGACTTGTACTCAGAAAACTATAGAACATTGAAAAAAGAGATGGAAGTGGACATAAACAACTGTAAGAACATACTATGTTCATGGATTGGAATTATTAACATCATGAAAATGTCCATACTACCCAAAGCAATAGATAGATTCAATGCAATCCCTATTAAAATACCAATGGCATACTACACAGGTGTAGAACAGACTTCCCAAACATTTATATGGAACCAAAAAAAGAGCCTGGATAACTACAGCAATCTTGAGAAAGAAGAACAGAGTTGGATGCATCACAAGACTAGATATCAAGCTATACCACAAAGCCACTGTGATCAAAACAGCTTGTTAGTGGCACAAGGACAGTCATATAGTTCAGTGGAACAGAATAGAGAACCCAAGCATCAACCCAAGCCATTATGTTCAATTAATCTTTGAGAAAGGAGATAAGAACAACAATGCAGTAAAAAAAAGTCTCTTCAATAAATGGTGTTGAGATCACTGGACAGCTATATGCAAAAAAAATAAATAAAAAAACGCAACTAGACCACCAACATACACCATACACAAAAATAAAATCAAGATGGATAAAAGACTTAAATGTAACACGTAAAACCATAAAAATCTTACAAGAAACCATAGGCAGCAAAATCTTAGATATCTCTCATAGCAATATGTTTACCGATACATCTCCTAGGAAAATGGAAATGAAGGAGAAAATAAATAAATGGGACTACATCAAAATAAAAAGCTTCTGCACAGCAAAAGAAACCATCAACAAAACAACAATATGCATGAGAGAACATATTTGCCAATTATATATCCAACTAAAGGCCTGGTGCATGAAAATTCGTGCACTCGGGGGGGTCCCTCAGCCCGGCCTGTGCCCTCTCACAGCCCGGGACCCATTGGGGCATGTCCCACTGCCAGTCAGACATCCCTCTGGCAGCCTGGGAGCCCTTGGGGGATGTCCACCTGCCGGCTTAGGCCTGCTCCCTGGGGGATCAGGTCTAAGCTAGCAGTCAGACATCCCTCTGGCAGCCCAGGAGCCCTGGGGGATGTCCGACTAATGGCTGTTAGTCGGACATCCTTAGTGCTGCTGCAGAGGCAGCAAAGTCTCCCACCACCGCCACTGAGCTGGCCAGCCATTAGCCAGCTTCTGGCTGAGTGGCGCCCCGCCATGTGGAAGCACACTGACCACCAGGGATCAGCTCCTGTGTTGAGTGTCTTCCTTCTGGTGGTCAGTGTGCATCATAGGGACTGATCATTCCTAGTTGTTCCTCCCTTAGGGTCAATTTGCATATTGCCCTTTTATTATATAGGATAAGGATATAATCTCCAAAATGTATAGGGAACTCACACAATTTAACAAAAGGAAGATAATCCAATTAAAAACTGGGAAAAGAACCTAAAAAAGGCACTTCTCCAAACTGGACATACACAAGGCCAAATGGCATATGCGAAAATGCTCAAAGTCAATACTCATCCAAGAGATGCAAATCAAAATGACAATGAGGTACCATCTCACACCTGTCAGAATGGCTATCATCAACAAATAAACAAACGACAAGTGTTGGCAAGTATGTAGAGAAAAGGGAACACTAGTACACTGCTGGTGGGAATGCAGACTGGTGCAGCCTCTGTGGAGAACAGTATGGAGTTTCCTCAAAAAATTAAAAATGGAACTCCCATTGACCCAGTGACCCCACCTCTAGGCATATATCCTAAGAAATCAGAAACACTGATCAGAAAGAACATATGCACCCCTATGTTGATAGCAGCGTGATTTATAATAGCTAAGATTTGGAAACAGCTTAAGTGCCCATCAGCAGATGAGTGGATTTAAAAACTGTGGTACATGTACATCTTGGAATACCATGCAGCAGTAAAAAAGAAGAATCTCTTACCCTTTGTTTGAGACAGGATGGAGGGTCCTGGAGAGCATCATGCTAAGCGAAATAAGCCAGTCAGAGAGAGATAAATATCACAGGTTTTCTCTCATATGTGGAATCTAGTGAACAAAATAAACCAGTGATGGCGAACCTTTTGAGCTCGGCATGTCAGCATTTTGAAAAACCCTAACTTAACTCTTGTGCCGTGTCACATATAGAAATTTTTTGATATTTGCAACCATAGTAAAACAAAGACTTATATTTTTGATATTTATTTTATATATTTAAATGCCATTTAACAAAGAAAAATCAACCAAAAAAAATGAGTTCGCGTGTCACCTCTGACACGCATGTCATAGGTTCGCCATCACTGCCCTA